GGAGGAACTGGAAGCCAAACAGGACAATTTTGGGGCTCTGCATGGCTAGCACGTGCACAGGGGTGTGCCACAAGCAGCCAGTGACAGCCCTCAGCACAAGTGATTTTCAAGACTGATGAGCCATGGCGATTTGAGGTTCTCACCCTTCAGATCACACCACTGAGCTCAGGGCTGCACCCAGGACACACCCCCCCAGCACAGCCCACTCGGGACTGGGCTTCCTCACAGAAAGCTGCAGGTAGCAGGGAGTTTTATCTAATGCAAAGCCACACGTATCCAAGACCTCAGGGAGTTTCTGCCCCATCTGTTCCAGGCAGGTAGGAAGTATACAGTACTGTGCAGCTCCTGGGACTTTTAATGGTGATTAACAATCTGTTCTACTCGGGTATTGGTGGTAAGAGGTTAGGAAAAGCTGTCTGTCAGGATCTGGAGCAAGAAGGCCACCAGAATGGCTCTGATGTGGCTGCAAATGCCCCTGAAATGAAAAAGAGCCATCTCTCTCAAGGGCTGTTGCCTCAAGAACCTCCTGCTTTCCCTATTGCTCTCTGAAGTTCACATATATAAAACCTTTTTGTTCCCATCAATGCTACTCCTGGATTTATGCTTATATGAAAAGCTCATGGAATGTGCTGTGGGAACTGAAGACTTTTAAAAGCAATTTGAGAAGCAGTGCAGGGAACGTGGTCCCGAGAACTGCTGCCACTTTTCTCCCTGCTGTGCAGGACTTGCTGTACCTGCAGCACTGGCTGCTTGTTCCAGCCTGGTTCCAGCTCTCTTCATTTACCAGATGCATTATTTACCAGCCTGACATTTAAAAATCAGCTCATTTAAAAATCAGATTTATCAACAAAAGAGTAGTGCTTGCTGTGGTGGCTTCCAACAAGAGTATTTTGCTGGGCTTGTGTTGACTTGGCAGTTTTCTGCCCAGTTCATCGCCAAAGGGCACTAGCACAGAGCCCTCAGCCCCTTCCCAGCCTGGGTGCTCTGCTCACAGCACCACTGAGATATGGACTGCCTTGGACTTTGGACTTCCACCAGCAAGCCAAGCAGGAGGAGGCCCGCACCAAGGGAATGACCTTCATGGAAGCACAATGAACTCAGTGCTGCAAGAGCCTGGATCCTGTTTGGGCAGCTGGATGATGTGCTCAAGGACCATCAGTCTGTCCTGCCCCACAGCACCCACAAAGCAGGGTTAACAGTTTGTGACATGTACCAATGGTGGCAGCAGGTCCTGGTGGAGGGTCCCAGGATGCAGCACCAGCACCAGGGGTGCCATCCCTGTGCCCACTGTTGGCAGATCCCTGTATGGCTGTCTGGGAGAAAGGCCAAAGGAACAGCTGATCATTGGCCACGCTCCTGTGCAGCACAGGAGGGTATAAATATGTGTAGGAAGATTCAGGCAGTTCTTGTAAAGCTGCATCCTGGAATGCACCACCTGCCCTGTGCCTCATGGCTCTCCGAGCTGCCACTTCCCACACCAGGGAGCAGGGTCTGCCCTGCTCCTCTTGCTCTGCAGCACTCCAGCAGTATCTGGTCGGTTGTACACAGCTTTGGGAGTAGGAACAGCTCACACCAGCTGAACCATGCTGCAGGAACTGTCCTGGTGCCAAGGAACTTTTAGCACATCATGGGGCTTGTCTTTGAGCCATGCCTCCAGGTGACACACTACTCACCTGCAACAGGGACAAGCACAAAGTGGGAAAGCGGTTGCCTTGCTCCCTGTGAGGTGCAGGATGAGAAGATGGGATGCTCCAAGCAGCATCAGACTCTTTCCTGCAGTAGGTTTCTCCTCCGTGAGAGGTGCCTGACAGGAGTTTCCCAGCCTCAGATCCACCTTGCTGCAGCATTGCTTGGTTCTTTTTGGCACCTGCTCGGGCCAGGGGCAGGCTGACTTCCCTGGGAGCACCCACGGGCACTGGCAGGGCTGAGCATTGCTCCCCAGCTCCTGCTCCAGCTCACAGTGGAGTTGTGTCCTCCAAAGGCAGTGCTGCCTTATCAATAATAAAAGGCAATTTCCCCAGACAGAGCTAGGAGATTACTCAGCCCTTCATGCACTTCATCTGCAGCTGACAAGATGGGAAGGACTTTAGGAAGATGCAATTTGACAGTAACACAAAACAACAACGGCATTAAGGGAAGAATAATGGCAAAGGCATCTGTCAAAAACCTTGTGTTCCTTAACCAGGAGCAAGAAATCAGAACAGTCAGACCCAAGCAGAAGCTGAAAGGGAGGGCAGGAGCACAGCAAGGAGCCAGGTACCACTGCCCATGGGGCATCCCGACTACTGTAGGATCTGAGCTTCAGGATGTGGTCACAGGGAGGATGAGAGGACCCTGGTGTCACCTCAGCCAGCTCAGAAACTTGCCAACTCCATGGCCACAGAGCCCAGGGGAGGGAAAAGCACCACTGTGCATGACACAAGTAATGTTCCACATCCATCAGGGCAGGACCTGGTGCCATGAGCCCACAGGATCAGTCCCATTCTACAGAACTGCTCCTCACTGAGTTCAGCCAGACCTTTCCCAAGCCAACATGCTGCCAGGGATACTCTCAGCAGGCTGCTAGCTATTAATGGAGCAGGGCACATTTATTTCTGCATCTCAAAATCCCCTTTGGCAAATCACAAATCACAGCACTCTGCTCAATAGATGCTCCTGCAGCACCCAGCATCAGGCAAATGGTGTCAGTGATAACTCTGCAAGGACAGAAGAGATGTTTCCAACTGCTGGAGCGAATTACATTCATAAGTCTTTAGAAGGTACATTAAACCTAATGTGAAATCAAACCCTCCAAGTAATGAGCAGAGCAGTTATCCTGTGTTACATGCAAGTTATGTGCAAGAGGATCTTGTTCAAAGAAGATCTGCCTTTGCCAAGAGATGAGCTGGAGAGAGGATGCCCTGATCTCTGCTCAGGGCTCCTGGCGTGGAGCTTTAACCATTTCCTCAGCCCAGCTCTAGCTCTTGTGAGAGAAATCCTGACGTGAAACCACCAGGAGATGGAGAGGGCAGAGCAGGAGCGACCCTGCGGCTGTGCCTGTCAGGAACCACTCAGAGTTCAATCAGTGCCACGTCCCTCACAGAGCAGATAAATGGCAACTCACTGGGAGAAAATGAGATAAACAGTGGACTTAATAGCGCTCCATTGCCCTCCAAATAGCAACCCCAGCCAGGACTGCCTCTGGGCACAGCAGGAAAAGGCCCTTGGATTAAAGGACACTCTCTGAGGTTGTCCCTTCTCTGCTGTGCTGTGTTTCAGCCCATTTCCATCCTGGTCAGCTCAGAGCAGATCCAGAACCTGACAGGCAAAAGGGAAGGTGCTTTAATGAAGCATCCAGTATTAAACCACTGAAGGATTAAAGAGAGGAAGAACTAGGATCCTCCACAAAATCCTAGTCGTTAGTGAAGCCCAAGGGTAAATGCAATTGTTTTCTGTTTTTTTCCTGTCTTTGATGACCCAGTTTTTTACTCTCATCGGCACCAGGCTTGCGTTAATTTTTAAATATGCTTGGGTAACTGAGAACATTAACTATTCATGATCTTATCTGCAATAGCTGTTGGCTCTGACACTGTGCTAGGGAGAGCTGAACTTGCCTGGGAAGGCAGTAGCTGGTTTTTCCTGAGCATCTTGTTGAAATGATCACAGGGGTGGGGTTCCATAACACTCCTGGTTAAATCAGGGCTTGTGGGGCTGGGTGGGATCATTGAGGCCGTTCTCCTGCAATTGAGGTGGTTTGGAAATACTTAAGAGGACACAAAAAGCTGGGATCTGGGGAATGCTGTGGACACTCTGAATGCTTCAACTTCAGGGAAACCCAATATGGTTTATAAATATAAGGGGGTCCTCCTGAGGTGGCAAGTGACTCTGCTGTCCCCTGCCCAGCCAGGTAGTGTCCTAGTCCAGGCAGAGGCTGAAGAAATCCTTGATTATCAGGAATGTGAGCTGATAAATCAGAGTCATGGAATGTTTTAGGTTGGAAGGGACCTAAAAGCTCATCTCATTCCACCCCCTGCCATGAGAAGGGACACCTTCCAGTAGACCAGGTTGCTCCAAGCCCTGCCCAACTTGGCTGTGGACACTTCAAGGGATGGGGCAGCCATGGCTGCTCTGGAAAATCTGTGCCAAGGCCCCAGCAACCTTGCAGGGAAGAATTTCATCCTAATGTCTAATCTAAGCCTTCCCTCATCAGTTTAAGGCCTTTTCCCCTTGTCCTGACACTGCATGCCCTTGTGCAAAGTCCTTCTCCAGAATAAACACGGAGGTCAGTGTGTCCAGGGTGGGGGGAAGAAGGCACATGCAGCTCTTGGGAGCCCGAAATTTCCCTGGGTGTAAACATCTCTGACAGCAGCAGCAGGGCATGAAGCAGCTGCAGGAGCTCAAGTTAACCTGGGAAAACCTAGACGGTGCTGAGATCTGGGAACAGGTACAAGAGTGAAGATCACAGGACAGCACAGGAGAACAAAGGTGATTAATTATCACATGAACCAGCAGAAGGCAGCGGGAGAGAGAGGGAGTTATTCAAAGGAATAAAAAGTTCATGCTGGTTTTCAGGAGGGATTGGGCTAGTAGCATCTCCTGCAGCTGGCATATGGGAGATGCTCCCACCAACTTGTGCTAACAGTTCATTGCTGGAAAGAAAATCTCCTTTTCAGAGGGTCCAAAGTGCAGGAGGGCAACACTGGAAAAGCAAGAGAAAAGTGTGGGGAGCACAGAGATCTGCAAGGCTCCTGGCCCAGAGTTAACACTACCAGGGAAGAACCACCCTTCCCCTGTTTTCCAAAAAGGGTACAGGTACTTTGTGCAGGAAAACTGAAATGAGAATCACAGATTCAGAGAATGGTTGAAATGGAAACACCCTCTGGAGATCACCTTGTCCAAATCTCAGAGTCTCAGGACCTTGTCCAGTTGGCAAAGTTTACTCTTTTTCCCCCTATGAAAATTAAATAATAGGACAAAATAGAATTACTCAATTTGCAAACTAACCGAGTTACACTGAATGGTCAATGTATACAGCATTTTATTGTTTGGACATATGTTACAATGGACAAACATATATTACATATGCTATACAAAATATACATTCTGCTGTGAAAAAAATATAAATAGACAATAGGAAATAGCAAGAGGGAACACAAGCAGCTTTGCTCTTGCTGCTTCTGACCCTCCTCACTTCCTGTACCGGTAGTGCTTTGGCATTGATTGAGGCAATTGCTTGTTTTTACTGAAAAAAGAAAGGCCACTCTGTCCCTCTGCAAAGGGAAAAAAAAGACACGCACGATTTTCTCCTCCAGGTCTACCAAAGAAGTTTTACCACAGTGCAGCAAAGCATCACCTACTTACAAGCATCAGCTATTTACAACCAGCTTATGGATTTTAAATGCTCATGGAAGGATGCAAATGTCTTAATTCAGGATTCAGCTTTTATAGGCCACTCTCTCACAGAAATCAGAGCAGCTTTAGCTGCACTCTCTGACAGCCAGCATAGTCCTGGTGCAGACAGCAGTGATTTTAAAGCCCTGGCCCAGGACAAGCAGGTCTCACTTACCTAAAGGTGAGGAATTCTCTTGCTCCAGAGAGTTGCACCCCAAGTACTCTCAGGGTCTGGACAATGCCAGCTGCACTGTGACAGATCTGTGTGAGCTCAGCTCCCACGAAGCAAGAGAGGAATGAAAGAATTAGGAACAAGCATTTGCCCAAATGGCGATGAGAGCAGCAGCAGGGATGCAGTTTTCCCACTGCTGGGAATCACAGATGCCAGCAGCACTTTGTCCCAGTATCCTGAGTGACTACTGGCTGAGAGAGCAGCACAAAATGACAAGATTTTGCTGCTGCTGTAGTTTCATGGCGTGACCTTTTTCATCTGGACTTAAACTGATTTAAAGTGCCTAGTCCCTGCAGCAGGGATCACTTTGGATTCAGAATAAGCACTGTGCCTTAAATGCTGTCTGGGAAGGAAAAGTCTGGAGGAAATAAAACCAGAAAGAAATGAACTGATAATAATTAAAAAAAAAAAATCACCTGTCAGAATCCCAAAATTTACAGACCTATGTTTCTCTCTATTTTACCCAAAGGTCAAGGACAATTGCATCCCCTTCCCACTAAAGCTGCTGTCTACCAAAGCAGCCATGCTGGCTTTGAGAGTATGGGAAGAGGCCTTAAAATATTTACTCATTTGCAACAATTTGACTATTATTCCTGTCCAAAGAGCCATGAGAAAAGCACCATTAGTCCCAGTGTTTCCCCACTCATGTACTCAAATACTTCACCACAGTCTAAATTCTGCTGTGATCCTGCACAACTAGACCTGACAACTGAGTTGCAAACCTTTCAGTCCAGGAATAGATCAATGGGAATTCTCACATACCTACAAATGAGCTGGGCCAAAAAGGGGTTTCTGTCTTTATAAAAATATCACACAGATGGTTTTACTTGGGTACAAATCCTACAGCTCCAAAGCAGGCAGCAGTGACCAGGAAGGAAGCAGCTCACTCTAAAGGTGTGACCACAGAGCACAATGTATCCGCTGAAAACCCATCCCTGAGGAGTCTTTTAACACCTTCTACAAAAAGGGGCATTTTCCCCCTAAAAGAACAACTTCCCAGGAAAACTTTATAATGTCATTGTTCTTCCTCATTTTCTCAGGCACATCTCACTGAAACTATGGAGTCTGAGCTTCCTCTGTGTCAGCAAAATTTTTCAGTAGTGAGGGGTTCCCTGCATTGTATCATTTCTCACCTGTCAAATATTTAAACATTTTGACCACACTAAGATTTAAGGGAACTATTAGTTCAACAATGTAGCCTGATATCTTACAACAGAAAAGGATCAGTGTTTTAAACTCCATATGCCTTTGGCTATGCAGAAGAAATAAGTATTCATCAAGTGCTCTCTCAATTTACCTCGTGCTTTTCATCACCGCATTCTTTTTAAAAGTTCACTTAACTGTCAGCTAGGAAACACATGGAGACCCTCTCAGCAGATACAATACAAAGGGGTTTTTATAGATAAAAGCTTAGATAAACCTTGAAATTCTGCTACTATCATGAAATGGATCAGCTTGCAGCCAGGTCAGCCAGGCACACAGTTGTAGGCAACAATGAAATTCATCAATATCACAGTTCTACCACATATCTGTAAGTAAATGCACTTTTCAAAACAGACAGCTCTATTCCCTCACAAACAAGCTTTCAGTCCCCCCAAGCTCCCCCTATGGCTTGATATGCAGCTGTCGAGACTAACAGTATGATACACACTTTGGCATAATAAAAAATAATTTACATTACAGTCAACACATTTATATGCTCAGTGTATACAAAATATTTATAAATGTGAGTTTATTTACAACTAGAGTCCATTATTCATAGACGAAAACAAGCCCCAAATTTAGACTGGCAACAGACACCTGCCAACAGTCTAAGGAAGGAAAAGCTGGCCAAGAGTTTTACACTTTCCGGGGGAATTCCATGAGGAGGCCCTGATGGTTTGTTTCCAAGCAGACAAAGCACTGTGAAATAGCTACACACGTTCTTGAGAGCTTTCAAAAACGTGCACCACCACAAAAGACTGCTTCCAGCATCACACAATCCATGTTTTAATGCTATTTTTGTAGATGGCACTAATATTCCATGTGTTCCCTGGTGCATTTTCCCATTTCCAATGGAAAAATTGCAGAAAAAAGGGCATGTGCCATCTCCTCCAAGAGACTCTTTAGTACTTGCAGATACATACACAAGCATCTTTGGCCTTGGGGTTAGTACTGAGGTAGTAAATACAGTCAGTCAATGTGGATTTGCTTTCAAGGCTGTGTGAGTGTTTTATGTGGTTTCAGTGTGGTCACGAATGTGGCGTGTCCTGTTAAAATCAAAGCTCTCCTCCCGCAGCCTGCGGCAGGGCCTGGGTGATGCCTGGTCCCGGTCGCTCCGCAGCGGCTGCGGGGCCTCGTGGGCCAGTGGATGGTGCAGGAACTGCGGGTGGGAGCAAGCCAGGTCTTTGCTGCCTCCCCACAGAGGAACCTGGAAGGGCTCTGAGGGAGAAAAATTAGAAGATGAACAGAAGCAAGTTCATAGAATTAAGGAATATCCTAAGTTGGAAGGGACCCTCAAGGGTCATCGAGTCCAACTCCTGGCCCTGCACAGACACCCCAACAAATTCCACCCTGTGCATCAAGAGCACTGTCCTAACACTCTTTGGGCTCTGGCAGCTTTGGGGCCATGACCATTCCCTGGGGAGCCTGGGCACTGCCCAGCCACCCACTGGAGGAGGGACCTTTTCCTGATACCCAACCCAAACCACTCCTGACACAGCTCCAGCTGTTCCCTCAGGTGCTGTCACTGCTCACAAAGAGCAGAGATCAATCTTTAAAAGATTTGAGCTCTGTGACTCGGCAATTACAATCCTTCTGAGCTGATTTTCTCTGGCTTTGAGAGTGTATTTTACTAGATGCTCTCCTTTTCCAGTTATCTCTTACAGTAACCAGGAGCACACAGAGCTTCAGTGTGAATTTTTAAAAAGGTGATCTGGAACAAAGTCAACATAAAAATAACTAATTTAGGGAGTTTTTTGAACTTCAGGCCAGCTCAAACAGAAAGGCTATTTGAATTTCATACATGAAGCTCCAACTTTTGGTTAATACATGTCCTTGTAGTATAAGCAAAGGCTCACATTCCACAAACTTAAACCTGCAAATTAAGAAATTCTATCTTTTTGACATCATCTTCTTCAATCTCAGGTACTGGCTATAAGCTGTTGCTTGCTGATGCAACATGGGCATTTGGAGAATAAGTGGTTAATAAATGTGAGTTATTCCACAAACTACTGGCACTTGAAGCTGTGTGTCAATAGTGAAGGGCCGCATAATGAAAGCCAAAGTTATCAGGGAATACAAAGCAACAAAAGGAAAAGTGGACACTCACCAATAATCTGCTGGGAAGAGATTTTCTTATCAGTTTTTTTGTCATGGTTGGTAAGGAAGACAGGCACATCTCTGTCTGCTAAGAGATTACCCAGAGCACTGGTTTCACTCTGGGTGCATGCTGTGTACGTTTCCTTGGGTATTTGCACCATGAGATTTGGGAGTGTTTGGTCCAAGGGGTCCTCCTCGGTGATGAAGGCATAGGGACAGTACTCTCGGGTCCGGGAGTAGATGTTGGCATTGTCATAACAATCTGAGCAGATCACTAATGGTGCTGCACCACCTAATGAACACAATGGAAAAATAAAATACTCTCAAAAAGGATGAGGATGCCAGATTTCCATAGGCTTTATGTCCTGGTATGATCATTTATTACAAAAGCACAGATTGAAGGGTCTTTTTACACTTAAAGGAGTAACAGAGTACTCTGCTTGAGAGATCACATGAGAAACCCCCCAGGTTCCCATCATCCAAATTCTCCACAGCAGTCCCCTTCTGAAGCTGGCATGGGGAACCACAGACATGTTCCCCTATTTCATGGGCAAAAAAGTTCAGCACAGATCCAGCCAGCTTGGGTGAAACAGCCTAGGGATTAAACCAGGATACCTGCCCACATCCATCTTGGACTTGGCTTGCCCCTGCCGCTTGCCCATACACATCAGAGCTGCTGATAAACCAGTCACTTAGATGAGCTGCTTCTCAACTCCTTCCTGATACAGACTCTAGTGCAGTGGGACTGCACTGGAGGGATCATGGACAGTAGTGAAAAACTTACACTGAGGATCAATTTTCAAGCCAGCCTATGTAATGAGTAATGAGTCCTCAGCATTTTGATGTCAAAGAAAGCATCTCTGTAAGCTCAATGACACAAACATCCAGAAAATTGTCCAAACAAGGTAGGAAAATAGTGCAGACCCCTTAGTTGCAACAAGCCAACCAACCTTAAAACAAACCAACCAACCAGCCAGCCAATTTTCTACCAAGGATAGGAGTCACAGCTAGTCATCTTCCAGTCAAAATCTATTTCCACCTCTTCTGCCTGGGCTCTTGTGATGCCAAAGGAAAGAAATAGGATAAAGATCTATTCTTGACACTTAAGCTGTGAGGATGAGACTGTGCATTGGCCTCCTGATGAGGCACTGGCAACACACCTGAGGCCTTTGCTTACCATCTGTGCCTTTGTGCATGTAGCTGCCAGCTGGAGGCATCAGCTGCTGATGGCTCCCTGCCTCCAAGTTACTGTAGCCTTCCTGAGGCTCAGACAGAGTTCCTTGGGAGGACAGGTAGCTGGGAATGTCAGCAGGTAGGTTCATCTCCTCTGCAAGGCAGAATTAACATTGGCAACATTAAACAGTGTGAAGATTTCAAGATATTACCAGCACTATTCCCCACATTAACAAGAACATCCAGAATTTCAACTCGCATGTAACTATCTTTTTTCTACCTCAGTAATTATACATCCAGACAGCCCATTCAAAGCTGACAGGGCCAGAAAGAAACTTTACACCTATTATTCCAGGCCCTGAAAACATTTCTAAGTTTATTAAAATATCTACTTCCAAACTTTACTGTTTTCCCTCAATGTAGGGCAAACCTAGTGTATAAGTAATAGAATTAGCACACTTCTGGTATTTAAAAGAACTTCTAAAATTGAGGAATTTGAGCAAAACCCTGAAGGGATTTTAGAAGGAAATCTTCAGTTCTTTAATCTTATCCATTTGTAACGAATCCATAAATTTCAAGTGTTTTGGACTAAAAACAAGACCAGAGACTGCTGATTTGACACTTAACCTGTGTTAGTGATGCTGTAGTCTTCATTCTTTCTCCTCATGTGATAGATGACGATAACCCACACCAAGGATGTTCCCACCACACAACACACAACCACAATAATCACAATCCCTACTGTTGTCCAGCCATCATCTTCATGGACAATGGCACTCTGGGAAGAATCACAGTTGGGGGATGCCAGGACATTTAGGTAAATATGGCCACGCTCAGTGCCCAGGGTGTTGGACATGATGCACGTGTACTTCCCAGCATCCTCCAGCCCTGCATCCACTATGATGAGGAGCTGATTAGCTGCAGCGAAGAAATGCCGCTCGGTGACTGTCAAGGGACCATCGTCCTTGGTCCAGTTGAGGCGAGGGGCAGGACTGCCACCAGCTATGCACTGCAGCACAGCAGTTTCACCTCGGGTCACTGTCCTGTCCTCCAGGGGCCTCATGAAGGAAGGAGTTTCTGGGACAAAAAGAGAAATTGTAAGATAACTTCAAAGAATCATGGGATCTAATCTATAATGGTTTGGGTTGGAAGGGACCTCAAAGACCATCCTGTCCCGTCCCCTGCCATAGAGAGGGACACCTTCCACTAGACCAAGTAGCTCCAAGCCCCATCCAAGCATCTCAAGCACTTCCAGGGCTGGGGCAGCTGCAGTTGCTTTGGGAAACCTGTGCCAGTCCAATTCTCCATTTGACCATAATGTTAAGTGCCAGTGTCTTCAAAAAATGCTGCACTCTGGAAGAAACTGACCTTCCATTATTACCCAGCATAGTTCACAGAATGGGTCAGCTTGGAAGGGACCATAGTGGGTCATCTGGTCCTACCTCCCTGCTCAAGCAGGGTTATCCCAGAGTACACAGGACAGGATTGCATCCAGATGGTTCTGGAATGTCTCCAGTGAGGGAGACTCCACTCTGGGCAGCCTGTTCCTGCACAGTAAAGAAGTTCTTCCTCACATTCATGCAGAGCTTGCTGTGCATCAGTTTCTGCCCATGGCCTCTTGTCCCATTGCTGAGCACCACCAAGCACAGCCAGGCCCATGCTCTGACCCCTCCCTGAAGACATGGACACACATTGATGAGGGCTCCTCTCAGACATCTTTTCTCAAGGTTGAACAAGTCCAGTTCCATAAGCCTTTCACAGAATCATGAAATCATTTAGTTTGGAAAAGGCCTCTAAGATTATCAAGTCCAGCCATTCACCATTTCCTTGTAAGAGTGATGCTCCAGTCCCTTCATCATTTCCATAACCTCTGCTGGACTTGCACCAGGGACTCTGCATCCCTCTTGTCCTGAGGAGCTCAGAACTGGACACAGCACTCCAGATGTGCCTCACTAGGGCTGAGCAAAGGGGCAGGATCACCTCTCTGACCTACTGGCAGTGCTCTTTCTCATGCACCCCAAGATCCCACTGGTCTTCTTCATGGCAGGTTTGTTAGTTGTAACAAAATTTGCTATAAGGCAACACAAATTACTTGCCTGATCCACACTGCCCCTCAGCTCCCTGCAAAGATCATGCTAACTCCAACTCCACTGGCAGCTCTGCAACTCAGCTTCTAAAGCTTCCCTGTGTAATCATCACAAAGTGCTGCTCTTCGTATTTTAACTTCATTCTCCACCATTTCAACTTGCTAGTTATAGCTAAGCTACACTTCCACTGCAGCAGTGCACGGATCCTTCAGCCAGCACAGGCCAATCACACTCACCCAGCACAGTCAGGGTAGCATTGGCTGAGAGTCCCCCTGCGATGTTCTGGGCCATGCAGCTGTAGATCCCCATGTCTTCCATCTTCACATTTGCAATGAAGAACACATCATCCTCAGGCATGACGTGCATCCTCCTCTCTCTTGCAGCAGGGAAGTCTGTGCCACCATCTTTCTGCCAGGAGATCTGTGGCGGGGGGTGGCCCTCAGCAGCACACTCCAGCCGGGCCATTGCCCCGGTGCGGATAGTGAGATCCATGGGAGTTTTCAGGAAAGAAGGGAGCTCTGCATCAAAGGGGACATCGAGTCAGCATTTTCATTATCAGGTAAAATGCAGCAAAAGCTCCAGAGCAGAGAGGAAATTTGAAAACATATGTGAAACACTCCGTAAGAGAGAGCAACAGATTCTTCTGAAAAACTGCACAAATTTTCAGTGGTTATTTCTAGGAGCCTTTCTCCCAGAATTTAAATACAGTATCTACAGTATTCATAGAATCACAGAATGCTTTGGGTTAAGACAATATATGTCCACGGGCAAGGACACCTTCCACTTCCCCAGCTTGCTCCAACCCCTGTCCAGTCTGGCCTTGAACACTTAGAGGGATGGAGCAGCCACAGCTTCTCTGGGCAACCTGTGCCACAGCCTTGCCAGCCTTGCAGGGAGAAATTTTTTCCTAATATCCAATGCAAACATACTCTATTTCAGTTTAAAGCCATTAAGTTCTCCATAGATGATGTGAAGATGATGATTTCTCATGTGAAGAATGAAGGGAAAAGTCTTTGCCACATTTTTCTTTTCTGCTAACAGGGAAGGTAAGCTTCCATCTCATCACTTCTGCTCTGAGGTACTGTGAGGACCAGTGGTCTGCTGACTGATATGAACATCATCTTCTTACCTCCCCTTCCCTCAAAATAAACAGAATTATGATGACTAAAAATAAAAAAAACCCTTCACTTTTGACTTTTCAGAGTTTTTACCACTTATTGTCTGATGAGTCTTCCCCAGTTTTACAAACATGTGGGAAAGGTGCTGAGTTCTGAGGAAACAGTAGAGGGAGCTTTTAGTTTAAAGAATTCCACCTCCAACTAATGAGATGAACAACTAATTGTGTTCTAACAAAGCACGGGAGATAAACTGCCACTTTCAAAAAGTGAACAGAGGCTTTTCATCCACAAAAAAAAAAAATCACTTCTTTGCAGCTTTATAAAATTATGTGTGATACATCTAAATCCCACTGATATTTGCAAGAGTATTTTGGGCCAGCTTTAGTGAAAAACAGACTAGTAGCTACTTAAATGGAGTTTCAGATTCAGAGTGTTTCTCCTTTTTTACCATTATCACTCACCATTGACAGTCAGCTTGGCTTTGTTGGAATAATTGGAGCCAAAGTGATTGGTGACAATGCACTGGTATTTCCCTTCATCAGTGAAATTCACATTGAAGAGATGCAGGACAGTGGTGTATTCCAGCACCTCCCCACTTTGCTGCTGGTACCTGGCAAAGCTCTCAACGTCAGCATCGTAGAGGACCTCGCTGTCTTTGCGCCAGGCCGTGGCCATGGGAGAGTCACTGCTGCTCACAGCAGTGCACATCAGGGTCACATTTGTGCCTCGCAGGGCCACCGTGGTCTCTGGGTGGACTCTGATCTGTGGTTTAGGGAAATTATCTGAAAAGAAAAGCACCAAGATTAGCTACTTTCCTCTTGAATTAATATTGCAAGAAAACTAACTCAAAAGACAATGCAAGCAAAACCAAAACTTTGGGAACAGGTGTTTGAGGGGCACAAATTCAGCTGTTTTGAGCTGGAAATCAAGCTGTGAAGGAGGCAGAGGAATCAGCATTGAAAACAATCAGTGTGGAAGTGTAGTGCCGAGCAGCCCTGCCTTTTGTCCAACTGTCTGAAACTTGCTATATTTAGATCACACTCAAAAATCCTGCTCAGTTGAAGAACCAGGCCACTTTATGAAGGACTGAGACTTACTTTCAGATAGTTTAAATACCCTGAAGAGCCTTGAAGTTCCACAAGCACAAAGCATAACAAGTTGGAACTTCACTAACTCATCCCACTCGATGAATCTGATTTCCATATCCACAAATTTAGCAAAGACACTCTCATAGACACATGCAGAGCTCTGTCAGATGCCACCGTGGTTGTACTGGAGTGGACAAGTGGGTGTGTGCACCTACATGGTTGTTACTGTAGCCTTTGCCACCAAAGCAATGAAAGAATTGCGCATACACAAATAACTGTTATAAAATTGCTCACCAGGAAAAGAAAACATCAGGCCTGCCACAGGCTTCACACAGACTCTGGGCAAAGAGTTTGAGACCACCATAAACATCACAGTTATGGAGCACCAGGAAATGTGCCAGAGCCTGAACTACTCTAATTCTTGCCCAGAGCTGCAGCTGTCCCATTCCTGGAAGAGCTTATGGCCAGGTTGGGCAGGGCTTGGAGCAACCTGTTCTCATGGAAGGTGGCCCTGTCTATGGCAGGGGTTGGAACTGGATGATCTCTAAGGTCCCTTCCAACCCAAACTATTTTATGATTCTGCCATATTCTGCTGGTATGGGCAAGAAGCAGGAAGAAAGTGTCAAACAGACTGTACAAAGCTAAAGGTAGTCATAAGCAAGGAGAACAAAAGCATAATTCCTTCTTACTAGTAAGCTAAATAAAAAACAATGCCCAACAGCACTACTCCTTCAGGTTAACTCCAGTGCCCAAACACCACAAAACAGAGTGAAGAGATGCAGAATTAAACCCCAAACCCACAGCAGACTCAGGGATGTACATGGGCCCACATGGGCACCACGGCCAGGACCAAGTACCTCCCCAGCAACTACAGCTTGATTTCAGCTACAAGACTTGTGTTACTGTGCTTCTGTATCAAAAGTCACTAAAAATACAAACCACAAACAAAGTCATCAGGGTCCACACTGAGAAGGCTTTGTCCTGCCAGCCACTCAGGGTGAGCACAGCTGACACTGACAGTCTGCAGCAAATGGCTCTCACTGAGCCACTGGGGCAGCCATTTCAGCTGGCAATCACAAAGCAAACTGCTGGTGTTCAGCACTCTGCAGAAACAGGGCAAAACAAAAGGGTGAGTGAAGTTTATTTCACATGCTGTGATTTCACACAGCAAAGCAACTTAAAGCATACACATACAGACACATCAGATTTACACTATTATTTTATACCTATGGGTATTTATCATAAAATCTTGGGTATTTATGCTCGAATCAGTCCCTCTGTGTCAGCATTAAAACCTAACATTTCATTTTAATCCTGGAGAATATAAACTCTGAGTTTCAACTTCTAAAAAAACAATCCCAAAATCACTAAACCTGTCTTTACCATTATCTCATCCCTCTTTAAAGCAATTAAAAGAACATAGCATAGCAGCACAGCTCCATGTTTCAAACTAAACACAACTGCCATTATGAAATTAGCAGAAGCCTCAATTCTCATTTTAATGCCAGCTGATAAATATTTAAGGCCAAAAGTGATTTGTTTCATACAGATACCAACTGCAGCTTGTTTTCTCTGCTCCACAGAAAACAATGATGGGTCTCTTCTTCCCCACCATCTGCTTTCAAAGTTTCCTAAGCGTTATTACTCATTCGCTGGAGTGCCAGACCACCTCTGAACTGACTTCAAGACATGGGGGGCTGAGTTTTGTTTGCCATACTCCAAGTATGAGTTTGACTGACTTGAGACAGTCATTTAACAAGAAGTGATCTGTCCTAAGATGCAGCCAGTCATAGGAGAAAAGAGGCACCAAACAAGCCAGGATTCCATCCTGCTCTTTGCCTGCACATATCAATGACTCATCACTTTTAAAATACATCAGAGAAGGCAACTTTAACACCTGAAATTCTCCTCACAGCAGCAGACCTTACAGACTAAGTCCATCTGGCCAAGGTTAACTAATGGAGTAACAGTTTTAGACCACATTACAACAGTCAGAGACTTTATCTCACAGAAAATACTGCATTACAGTAGTATCAGTCTTGGGTGTGAAGGTCATTTCACATTATATTACTTCAGACGTCTGAAGACCACAGGAGACCCTATCAGCTTAAACATCTGCTGAGCACATACAAAATCTTGTCTGGCTGTGAATTGTAAAGCTTTTCCCTAGCCGCCAAAATAGGAAGAAAAACACAGAAAAACACAAGGATTTGCTAATCCTCGAGAGATTCCTGATGAATTCTTTGTTTTGTTCACTGCCTACAGACAGCACTGAGCTTGCTGCAAAATCATAGGATAGGAAAAGCTTAATGGTTCAGTACTGCAAGAAAAAGTTAACTCCTCCTAATTGCAACTAAGGAAATGCAGCTGAAGATTTTATCAAACATTAAATCAAAATATTCTGCTACCAACTTCACCAGCATTGCTGCAAATATTTCATGATGAAAGCAGACACACTTCAGACAACTTCAAACAACCCTACAATGGCTGAAGAATTCTTTCCAAGGTAGGGCTTGTAAAGAATCTCTAAATAATTGTTATGAACTTACAGCTCCTTCAGCTGAGCATGGGCAAAGGCATTTTCTTGGACGGACATTATTGCATTGTTGCTTAAATCTCTGGAAGTTAAGCAAAGAGAACAATGAGGAGTCAGTGTGATTTCATACGCTGCCTTCAGTTAAATACTCGAAAATCTCTCAGAGAACACAAGACTGAAGTTGACAAATAATTAGGAGTTCTACAAATTAAAATACTTACAGATGTTCAAGTCCCTCGAGACCAGAGAATGCTTTTTTGGTAATTGACTTAATTTGGTTTCCTTGCAAGATTCTGAAAGTAAAGGCCCAGAAACCAGTCTGAATGTCAATATGAGTTCACAAACAAGACCCAAAAGAAATATCCTGATGCTTAACTATATATTTTTTTCTAATTCTAGCTGAGATACAGAACTAAATACTATTCTTTTCAGCTTAAAGGCTCAACTAATTTTCCCAAGAACAGCGCTTCTTTTCTATTTTCAACTTAGAGGTTTGGGTTAGAAATGTGTCAGAAGATAACTTAAGTCAGGAGGATGAAACAGCAATAACTAGAACTTGGGAATAAAGCAATAAGTTTCTACTATCAACCTGCTACCACCACACAACTTCCTGGACTGCACCCGCACATCAGGCTATTTGTTATAAACAACATTTGTAACTACATGGGATGGAGAGTCCTATAAAACATGTGGCACTGGATGAAAAGTGCACAGTCCAAGTATCATGAAGTTTGTTAATGCAATAGTGTTTCAAATTTGCTCAAAAATACTTTGTATTTTGCACTTGTTCTTTTGATAAGTAGTAACTTTTACCCAAACCAAAGAAGCAAAAAAAATTACACCATCACACAGAGGGAGTGAGGCATTCAATAATAAATGCAGTCAAATATTTATGCTTAATCTCGTCAAATTGGTGCTATAAGGAAATGCAGTGCTACATGGATCTGGTGCTCCTGAACAAGGAACCCAGGACTACATCAAGTGGTTGTTGCACACAAGTGGAAACACTGCGAGAAAGTCAATGACATGAGGCAGAAAGCCTGACAATTACTTAATATTTTGCACTCTCCCTCTCTGCATGCCTGGGAAGTGCTGTTGTTCCCCTAATTTGTAATACATACAGTTTATCCAGCCTGCTGAGTCCCACAAAAGCTTCATTTGCATCTTCTATGGCCCAGGAGATCTCATTGTTCCGCAAGTCCCTGCAGGAGAAGACATTTCTCAGAAAGAAGACTTGGAACATCATTATGACCAGGGCTAGTGGTGAGCTAGGGAAGGCAGGCCAGGTATGGGGCTCTGGCACACCTGGAAAGTCTCAAATCTTTTACCAAACTAAACTTGTCAGGAGACGAATTTCTGACTTCAGAGAAGCAAAAGGGAAAACTTCATGATAAGTGCTGCAGTAAGCACCACAAACAAATTCTGCAGCACAACTTCTTGATGTGGCATTTAAGGAAAGCCCCGGTCTGACCAGCACTCTTCATGTGATGGATTATTTGCCAGGAGCTGGGAGAGGCTCCTGAAGCAAGTTGGGTCATGTAAGGGAGTTAACCAATACACCAGCAGCATTAATCTTCACAAGTAACAGGCTTATATCAGTATTAGCATATTAAGCAATTACACCCAGGCTACACTGTAGGCCTGCCAGGCACACCTCGGTGGCTTTTCAAAATGAAGTTGATATTCTGCTCACAAATCTTGTTATTAGCTAATGGTATTTCTGACTGACCTCAGCATAGCACTTCAGCCCCTCATGGAGAAGAGAGGTCCAAACAGCAAAAGCAATAGAGCAATACAGTTTGGAGAGGATTAAAAGCTCTTCAGGAAGAAGATTAAATAAATGCACTTGCATTTTTAGCCTGAATGGCATGGACTGTGCCAAAAGCATCTGTTTTGATACCACTATGCACAGAGAAGAGTGTATTTAAAGGAAATCACGCTAATAAAAAATAGTCCACCCTGTGTCTTACCTGATATTCTATGCAACAGCTAGATGAAGCTTCCAAATGAGCCAACTGACACAAATCTAGCTGCATACACAGGCAACTGTATATATCACTCATATAAACACCTCTTTCCCTGTATTAATGAGGGAAAAGTGATCCAGTTTCCCATTATGTGAGACTGTAAACTGTGCAGAACACCATTGTGGAAGAGACTGGGATCAACCTCCAGGATACCATCAGTGATAACACAGTTTTCTTGTTTTTCTTACTTTGAAATATAGAGGTCTTGTTAAAACCACACACAGAAATATGTACACCAGCTGTAGCACCAAACAACCAGCACACAAACAACAATGGAACTAAAACCACATGGTATCTCTTGTTTTTTGAGATATTTTTACACTCCACTACTCAGACCACTCAGCAAAATGAGTGAGCAGCCCCAAAGAAAAACCCTCATTGTGTGAGAGAGGAATTGGCTCCTCATGCCTGGCTGGGCACTAATGCTTGGAGCCTTGTTAATCACCACTGCTCTCTACCCTGCACATTCCAGTCCCAAGGCAAAGGGCCAGGCCCTCACTGTTGACACCCCTGAGAGCCCAGGACAACCTGCTAATTAATCTGCTCTTGTTCTTTTTCATGCTAGTCTAAATCTAAGAAATTAGGTTTAATTATTTCATTAAAAGGTTGTATTAAGGTTAACAGAGTATGACTGCTTACATGAATCTCTCTGGTGAATTTGCTTATTTAAGCATTTACTTAATGAAGTGACAGAGGGGTTAGAAATTTTCACTCCTTTCTCAAGTACTGACTTTTAGGACAACTACAACTGTTCAAATCTACTTGGGACAGGACTGGGTCTCTTCAGAACTATCCAAGATCTGCCAGAAAAGGTTCTGGCAAGCACAAAGCTGTGCCTTCAACAGCAAGAAGAAACTCTACATCCCCTGTTATGTTTGTGAGGTCAGCACATGAGCAAGATGGGCTAAACCACATCTTCTACAACACAAAAGGGCTCAGTCCTTGGTTTCTGAGGTTCCAAACCTAAGGAAACCCTCTAGAACAAAGAGCTCCAGGCTATTTGCTCCACAACTGGATACACAAGGTACCAACACCTCTCAGAAGCCGTAGGACACACATCTTAGCACTTAAGGTCACCAAGTCATTGTTTCTTACTACCTCTACAACTAAGTGGTTGGCTTGTTTTAGCTAGGCTGGAATTCTGTCATCTTGGCAAGCCAAAAGATTATCAGCTCTACCACACCTGCAGGCAAGACAACACCAGCAATGATCTCAGGCTCCCACAATGCAATATCCATTGTCTCTACTTACAAAAGCTCCACTTAAACTAAAATTGCATTAAACTGAAACTTCTGTTTGAAGTTTTCTGTACTTACAAGGTTTGAAGATTTGTCAGACCTCTAAAGACACCATCAGCAATGTGATTAATGCGATTGTCACCCAGGTTTAGCTTCTCCAATAAATCAAGTCCCACAAAGGCAGATTCCTTGAGGCGAGTGAGCTGATTGTATGACAAGTCTCTGAAAACATTCAACAAACATTTTAAAGGCAAGCAGGGGGATTAATTATTAAGATACTATCTGACTTGATTAACTATTGTGTTCTAATTTCTCTAACAGAATACTTATAATTAAAATACATCATTACCATGGGCCTAGCAAGGAAATTGAGTACTTCCTTTAGTAATTCATTCTTGCCAATCAATAATTGCAACATTTCAAAAATCCCCAATGAATAGCAGCCCAGGACTTACAGCTCAGCAAGTCTTTGGCAGAATTCCCATGCATCTGGGCTGATCCTGGTGATGGCATTCTGGCTAACATAGAGTTGTTGCAATGTCCGCAGCCCATACAGCCAGCCCTTGTTTACTTCTGTTAAGTTATTATGTTCCAGTTCTCTAATGAATTAGACAGAAAAAACATTTGCCAAACAGATAATCAATGAAACATCTACTTACAAAATTTCATCTTATGGATCTCAAATTATTTACTAACTTTAACTTAGACAACACAAAATGCATGATTCTTTCAATCCTGCTGAATTTTAAAAAACGACCTGAAGTATATGAAGAACTGAGTAACCAAACACCAGCTTCAGGGATCGAGTGGCAGAAACAAAACTATAATCTTTATTCTCAAAAATATTTTTTTAAAAAAGAAGTCTTTTGCTAACATTGCATCATACATCCTTGTGTTCACACTGTCAAAGTCATAGAGGAAAGAACAACCCCATGTTATGGTGACTGCAAATGAAAACCAGCAAAAAGCAACTACAGAGGCAAACACTCTTGATCACCATGTATGAGGAAGCTGGAAAGAGGACCAATATAAAGGAATCACAAGACTGGTTTGTGTTGGAAGGGACCTCAAAGATCTTCCAATTCCAACTCCCTGCCATGGGCAGGGACACTTTCCACTAGACCAGGTTGCTCTATTCAACCTATTCAGCCCTATTCTACCTCGCCTTGAACACCTCCAGGAATGGGGAAGCGTATCTTACCACTTCTGAAGTAACCAGATATGCAATAAAAATAATGGGGAAATACTCTTTTCCTATGATTTCATCAATATCTCAGCACAGCTTTGATGTAAGGGAAACGATACAGGACACAACTCCCCAGATCCATTTTCTTTATGCTAAAAAATTCCACAACCAGGCATACTCACAATTCCTCTATATTACCCAGGCCAAAGAATGCTCCATCCATTAGTCTGCTAATCCCATTGCGCTGCATTTTCAAGGATTTTAAGGATTCCAATCCTTGGAATGTAAGACTTTCCACTATTTTAATCCGGTTCCTTTTCAGTTCCCTTTCATAAAGATGACAGTCAAATATTAAGACACCTTGCAACAAGCATCACTGCGTGAAAGTCAAGAACATGCTGAGATTAACAGCCCAGCTGTAAATGTTTGGATGATTTCAAGACTGTTACTTACAGAAACTGCACATGAGGCAATCTGAAGATCTTTGGTGGAATCACACTAATCCTATTTCTGTTCAGTTTTATCACCATTAGTGAGCTAGATAAGTTATCAAGGCAACCTGCTTCTAGAGTAGTTATTCTGTTGTTACTCAGATTCCTAAGGAAGAAAGAAAGAAGGAAAGAGGACTTTCAGAACACAAAGAATTTGATAAACAGAATGGCACAAGCACCTCAGAGCAACCACTGATTAACAGAACCCAAGACCCTTGTGAAGTCACATGGGAAATCTAAATCACCAAGCTAAATCCTTTTTCCTAAAGGAATTGGTGGAGGAGCTGATTTTTACTGCATTTCTATGTTTTAATAAGCAGTGGTTAACACAGTGATCTACTCAAACAGGGCGGAAATTATTCCCTGTCCCTGATGGCTTACGTACCTGCACTCTGACAACAGCAATTGCTGTTATCCGTGTTATTTGGGAAAATACAATACAGATTGGTATGAAAACTAATTTATTTCAAGGACATCTGTAGCTCCATTAAGCACTGCTACCAGTTCAAAGCTGTGTAAGGATGCCAGCTTCAGGACACTAATTATGAGTAAATGAGGTCTCCAACATTTAGAGGCAGGAATCCCAGAGACAGCAGATCACTCATACTTACAGGTACTTCAGCTGCATTCGTGGAAAGGAAGAGGCTTTAATTTCTGAGATAAGATTAGAACTAAGATCTAGATTTTCCAATGAAACGTAGACCTGGAGTTGCTCAGCATTTATTTCTGGAATGGTATTGTGCACCCTGAAAAAGATCAGTAGTAAATATGATTATCACAACACCTCACTCTTCTGGATGCACAGCTGAAACAGCAACAGGATTCTGTATATCAACAGTAGTAGTGAGCTTCATGAATGGGACATGCACAACTTGCTTCCAAAAGTGTTAATTCCTAAAGCAATACTGCAAATCCAAGAGCTATTTGCCACCATGACATATGAACAGATTCAAATTCTGAGGCCTACAGATGAGCTGGTCCTTGTGGGAAGTTCCTGGACTGAATCCCGCCCCTTCAAAGCTCCCTACCTTGGTTGACTGCATTTTATCGGTAATTTAGGGTGATTTGATTGTCTAACTGATTTGTATTTCTTTAAAGAGTGCTTACATATTCCCTGATGCTCTTTACATGAGCAGTATTTCAAGAAAAAAGATGTTTTCCTACAATTTGATAGCAGAACTCTAACATGGTTCTCCCATTTGTTAAGCAAGAAAAAGGCAGATGAGCTATTACTTACAATGAGAGAAGAGTTATATTGGAAGTTGTTTCTCCAAAATATGGAATTTCACTTAGCTCATTGTAATTCATTTTCCTTAAATAGAGGGCAAAAAAAAAATTACTGACGCTTCAAAGAAGAAAAAAATCCTTCTGTACACAGCAGAAATAATTCATATCAATGCATTCAGAAGTTTTATTGTATTAACAATATTTAGTAGCTGACAAAAAAGATTCCCCAAGAGCTTAAATACCAATAATTCGAACAATTTGAACAGTGAAACAGGCTAGCTTTTCTTATTTTCCTTGATACTATTACTTCTCTTTCATTTAAAATCAGCTATAGCCAAAACAAATACTCCTCATTTCTCTTTAAAAATACTGGTCCTCTGATCTTTCATGGGAAAGATTTCTGCTCACAACACAACAATTTTATACATAAGATGTGCTGCCGCCATAATTTTTTAATTAACTTACACTGAATATTTCTGCAAGACAGACCAGGTATCTTGACATGCAATGAAATACTCTAATTAGAATTAGGTAGGATATCTTTAGACTTTATCCTCATAAAAAACAACTTACACTTCTTGGAGAGTATGGACAGACAAATCAATGCTCCAGTTGGATGATAATAAATTATTATGACTTAAATCCCTAGACAACAGAGAAAAAAAGTTACTTAATTCCTGGAATAATAATAATAAAACCTCAGTAAACCCAAAACATATATACTTTATGCAATCTCAACTCTGAAACTGCATTTATGTATTTTATACTGTTGCTTCTTCACTAAAGAAAAGAGCTTGTTTTAGTGGCTATTCACAATTGAAAGTTTAAACAGTTCTGTTTCTCTGTTTTGAATAAAAAAAACTTTGGTTAAAGCTTCTTGATAGGAAGATTGTACCTGACCAGAGAATTATGGCTTTAATCCCGAGCTTTATTAACAACACTTGTCTACTGCAAGAAGGAAAAACTTTGCAGGGACACGAGAATAATTTCTTACAAAATGCCCGTTATTGAACTGCTTCCTGCAGCATGATCCCCATTTTCTCAGCTTTCCAAAGATGCTGACTAGCCAAGGCAGGCTTATTTTAAAGGATCAACATACACAAAATTCCCAAACAAGCTGGAGCGGAGAGAACCCTGAGGCTGGAATCTTACAGACAGATGCTTTAGCACCAGTTGGTTTTACCAGACTACAGTATAGTTATAGTTGTTAATTTTCACTCAGGTTCAGTGTAAAAATTCTGCTGAATTATTAAAATTCTGTGTGTCATGGCAAGTCAGGCAGTTGTTAATGTATTCTTTTAATTACACCAAGATGCAAATTATACAGATATAGCAGTGTGGGTTTGGAAACAATTAAAAAAAAAAAAGAATCAAGAGAACCTGGAGAGGAGAATAACTGCAGCCAGTTGCAGAACTATTCTGCAGCTCTGCTTCCTCAGTACATGTGGTAATTAAGCCAGCCCTAAACACTAGCAAAAACACAAAAACAACCAGGCATGAGCTGCTCCTCAGCAGGCTTCCCACCTCAGGGGGCTGAATGCTCAAGACAGGCTCTCCAGCTGCCCACATTCCCCTAAACCCCTCTCAGCGCCAGCCTCTGGGCATCACAGGAGCCTGGCACAGACAGGTGGAGGGAGATATGATCCCAAACCCCAAGAGCAGACTTTCCTGAATTTTTCAAACATGCAGGCACCCAGCCAGTGCTGGCAGTCCAATCCTGGAGCAGAGTTTAACCAGAGCAGGAAGTACTAAGCCATGCTGTTCCCAAAGAACCAGTGCACAGCAGACAGAGGAAGGAGACAACGGACATGGAAGATAATGCACTGCTCAAGGTGGGCAGATACTCCACTAATGAGCAAAACCAGGCCATGGCTTCTGAGCCAGGCCAACTTGTGCGTCAGGCACAGCTAGCGGGCACCGACATAGATCTTGGAAGCAAGATTAATACACATAGAAAACTGAAACTTGATTTTTCTAAGGCTTTCAGGAAAACTATAATAGAATAATTATGTTAGCTGGGAAGGGAACCTACAACAACCTTCTAGTCCACCTGCCTGACTACTTCAGGGCTGACCAAAAGTTAAGATTATTCGGGACACTGAATTCCTCCAAATTCCTCCTAATCACTGACAGCCATGAGGCCTGGGTGATGAGGATGAGCTAACATCCAGCTACCCCCCCCCCCCCCCCCCCCAAGCCTACTGTCTAATTACTGAGTTAGAAATTAAGATTTTAATTCAGAAAGCACAGGGAAGTATTTTTCTATTATTACTCAGATTTGGACTACAACAAAGTTTTCATTACAATAAGTCCTCTTTCAAGAAGTTGAGTAGAGTTGATATTTATAGTGATTCTGACATTATTTATAACTACATTCTGTTACTGATGGTTTTATTTTTCAAACAGACCAACTGATCACAAAATACAGAATGAAATACATTGGCAGATTTTCTGTGTTTAGAGATCATTCACAGAGCTAAGACTCCTGCTATTCTGGAGAACCAGATGCCATTCCCTTGTTCTGGAAGAGCCAACACCAAAGAACCCACCCTTTACGCAGCCTTTGTAACTGGGAGGCCGAGGCTGTTCAGAATACAGAGCAAATATGCAAAATTTGTATTTTAGAGATTCATCTGGTATTGTATATAACATCATCTAAACATTCATTTTGAGCCTAAGTGGTACTCATCTCTTAAGTAAACAAAACAGAACACACATACCAAACCGATTATGGATCATGAAGAATGATCCTAATTCAGCCAAGCAGAGCATACTGTGGCACTGTAGAGGTGCTGATACAGAATGCAGGCAGCCAGTTGAGCTCACCCAAAAAATCTACTGTGAACAGAACTTACTGAGCTAATTAACTGATATCTGAACTATTTCTATTCATCGTCTCTCTGCTTACCAGGATATATAAACACACCTACCACTATGGGACTAGAGGCAGCGACCACCATCATTGTGCTTCTCTCTGCCCCCACACACAGGGCAGGCATTCCTTGCTCTAAAGAAACTAACGTTAAGGGGCAGACATACAAAAAAAATTCTCCTAAATCACTAACTTCACAATGCTTTTCATCACCTACCAGGTTAGCCACAAAACATATATAAATTCATAGGAAAAATGAAGTTAGTTGCCTGAGTCCTTCCATCATGAAAACCAAGTTCTGCTCTGCTGGCTTTATTAAAAACAAAGAGTGAAAATAAAACCAAGCTGCACACACACATACTGGAAGCACCACCTGCAAGTAATTTGACAAATAGGAAAAAGAAGAATTTTTAGTCCTCAGTGCCAGCTGAAATGGTATCACAGAACTAATAGAGAAAAGCACATGAGGGACTCAATCCTGTGAGAAAAATTAGGCTTTGATTAATTTTAAACAGCTGGTATACATTACAGCTCATTTAGATTCAGAACTGCTAGAGTAGTACTAGTGAAGAAAAAACATCACCCATGCTTCATGTGCCAAAATCCTGAAAGCCACAATAGAGGATAGACACAGAATGGATTGAGAGCAGCTCTGGGGAGGACTTGGGGATGTTGGAAGATGAGAAGCTCAACAGAAATGTGCATCTGCAGGCCAGAACACCCCTCTGAGCCCTGGGCTGATACCTGAGCACGAGCAGCAAAGGAGGGAGCGATTCTGCCCCTCCACCCCGCTCAGGTGAGACTCCAGAGACCTCAGGGCTGCCTCCCACCTTGGGGCATCACTGCCGGGGCCGCCCTGCCCGTGAGAACACCCCGCAGACAAAATCGCAGAATCAGTTAGGTTGGAAAACACCTCCAGGATCACTGAACCCAAGCTATGACCAAACAGCAACTCGTCAATCACACCATGGCACCGATGCCACGTCCAGCCGCTCCTTGGACGCCGCCAGGGGATGGCACTCCACCACCTCCCTCGGCAGCCCCTTCCAACGCCCATCACCCTTTCTGTGAAGAAATTCCTCCCGATGCCGAACCTGACCCTCCCCTGGCACAGCTGAAGACTATGTGCTCTCGTCTTAGCGCTCGTTCCCTGGGAAGAGCGCCCGTACCCGCCTGCACCCTCCTGCCAGGGAGCGACCGAGCGAGACAAGGACGCCGAGCCCGAGCCCTGCCGGGCCTCCAGCCGGGGCCCGCCCCGCCAGGCCGAGACCCGGCACAGCCCGCCGCCCGCCCGGCCCCGCCGCGCTCACTCACAGCCCCGTGATGCCGGCGGGCAGCGGCGGAATCCTCCGGCGGCGAGGGGCGGGGCTTGTGCCGGCCCCGCCCCTCGCTGTCTTCCGGCCGATTACCGCCCCGGGCTGGGCGGGGCCAGGCAGCGAGGCACCACCTCAGGCCCCGCCCAGCGCCCCCGACAGGGCCCTCGGGGCGGAGCGCGCAGGCGCGGGGTGGGCGGTGCTACCACAAGCCCCTCCCAGCAGGGCTGCCGCCTCAGGCGCTGCTTCAGGTGTCGCCTCAGGGGCCGCTTCAGGTGTCGCCTCAGGGGCCGCCTCAGGTGCCGCCGGCGGTCGGAGCTCTCGGGCCTTCGCTCCATCCGCCTGCAGCGGCGGGTCCTGCCGTCTGAGTGCCGGTGTCTGCAGGGAGGGGCAGATCACCGTCTGCTGTCCGTTCCTAGCGGACCCACTCCGTCTCCTCACGAACTAGGTGCTGCCGCGAGGGTGTCACGCTCCCTCGGGGCTGTGGGTGCAGCGCGCCTGTGCTGAGGTGTCCCCTCGCAGGCACCTCACAGGTGTCCCCAAGGCTGTGCGGCTCCACTGGCACCATGGCCTGGCTCTGTGCTCCCACAGCCAGCCTGAGGGCAAACAGACCTGCAGGGCTTCACCTGGATCACACCAGCAGCGCCAGCGCCCGGCCTGGCTACCAGCACCTGGGCACAGACAAACCACTGGCCGTGTGCCCAGTACTGTGTGCCCCTTTCTTCCAGAGGCTGGTTGGTCACTGAACAGGCTCTCCAGGGAATGGTCATGGCCCCAAGGCTGCCAGAGCTCAAGGAGTGTTTGGACAATGCTCTCAGGCAGAGGGTGGGATTTTGGGGTGTCCTGTTCAGGGCTTGGAGTTGGACCCGATGATCCTTGTGAGTCCCTTCCAGCTCAGGATGTTCTTTATGACCTGTGCAAAAAGGGCTGAGCAAGGACAGGGAAGATGCCAGGTGGGAATCTGCTGTCTGCATCCTGGGGGGGCACTGGCAGTGCTGCCCCCGGCTGCCACAGGCTCAGGAGAACTCAATTAGGAGAATCTGCTTAGACAAAATCCAGGGCCCAGCACAGGTCTCTCTCCAACAATAGTTCCCAGTGCAATTTGCATTTATAAGATTATCGCCATGGCAGCAGAAATTTGCATATTAATAGAAGCCAGTCTTAATTGCTGAGCTGCTCCTTTCATCTTGGAGCAGAAGGGAGCCTGCTGTGATTCACCAAGCTACAACTGCCACTGCTGGGGGCCCTGCCTCCTCAGGCAATTCCCTTAAAACTCTCTCTCCTGCTCCCTCTGCCAGTCCCAGTCCAGCACAGCTCCAAGATCTTCGCAGCTGTCCACAGTATCCATTTAGATGTGACATCCCTCTGAGGGTCCTCTGGGACGATGCCTCTGGAATCCGTTTGGGGCAGAGCTAGTGCTGTACGCAGATCACCTCCTGTGTGCCTAGGACTGCCACAGGTGTTTCAAAGCCCAGTCCTGCTGACCACGCTAGAGTGGGCACGAGCCCTTGCAGAGCAGGTAGCTGTGGCACGCCTGAGGGTACAGCTGGAACAGCCCTGCTGGAGGCAATTCCAGCCCAGCCATCAGTGTCACTGTGGTTTAAAATGGAGGAGGCCCTCGATCCCTTTACTGCTCCTGCCTGGAACAAGACAGATGGAGTGGTCAGGGGCTTGCCATGGAAGGACTTAAGCATCTACCTGAGATGAGGAGTCTCCCTACTCCCCAGCACAGGTCGATCCTGGATCCCTCGGGAAGGTGCAGGAGGCTTTGCTGCAGCCCAGCCCGGCTCATCCCCCTCGGGCCACTGTCCCCTCCCAGCACCTGGACTGCTTCCCTGAGCATTTCAGGGGAAGCTGGGATCCTGCTACAGCAGCAGGAGCCTCCCGCCCCTGCCAGGAGCATCGTTGGCCCGGGCATGCCTCCCCGTCTGGGTGGCAGTGGAGACTCAGCGCATCCCGCTGCTGTCTGCAGCCTCCACAGCGACATGCTCTCCAGGCTCCAGCCCAGCATGGTTCACTCCTTCGCGGCGCTGAGCGGCAGCGTGGGAAGGCTCACACTGTGCTGGAGCTGAGCCTTCGCCACTGGATGGCACACGAGCCCCAGCAGAGAGCCTGGGTGGCCTCGGGGTGCTGAGCCCAGCTCTGCGGGCTGGGGGTGCCGGAGGCTGCTGAGAGGTGCGGTGCCTGCCAGAGGTGCTGGCAGGTGCTGGGCTCCCAGCCCCTCGCGTCTGCTCCCTCCACGCCGCCCTCGGGACTGTCGCTGCCGCTGGTTCGGAGCCGGACTCTGACCTTGGCTGAGCGGTATCTGCCGCACCTCCGGCTGGGCGGACAGCTGCTCCTCAGGAGCACAGAGTTTTCTTCCTGACCAGCACTCCCTCCAGATAAGGCTGAGCTTACCTCCCTGCTCCTCGCAGGCTGGAAATTCAGGGAAGTTTTTTAACCTGCTGGCCTTGACAAGCACGGCCTGAAACGAGCTCTTTATTTAATATCTTTGTGCCAATGACACTGCCGGAAGACAGAGGATGCCAGCCTGGCCAATAACTCACAATAAAAACACTTCTCTCCCCCAAATCTGTGACCAGACACTTTTCTATCTGCCCCTGTTGCCCTCTCAGCCCTGTTCTCATCAGCACAGAGGTACCTCTGCATCCCCTTCCTCACTGGGACATCTCCACCAGCATCCAGGCAGTGCAGGGTGGCCTTACCCTGTGGGATGCCCGGTGCTGCGGTGCTGGGATGGGGCAGCGCCAGACTGCTCAGGCTGTGGCCCCCCTGTGGGGTCACCCTGCCCCAGCTTCTCCCTGGTGCTGCCACCTCATCAGCTGTGCCACAGGTCCCTGTGGCCCAGCTGTGCCCAGGAAAATGAGTGGACAGCCAGAGGAACAGACAGGTTGTCTCTCTGCTGCCCTCAGCCCCATTGTTCTCCCAGGGCCAGTGTGTCAACAGGAGCTGGAAGAGGAAACAGGGGCTAAGGAGATGCCAAGACCCCTGCTGCTTAGGGAAAGATAAGGAGGGAGGGGGCATTTATGGACTGTCCAGGGGTGGCGGATGCAGGAGGTTTTCCTGTGGTGCAGGAGAGGGACAGCATTGTGTCCCCAGACAGCTTTCCATGTACCATGCTGAGTGTGGGCAGTGACTGGGGATGCATGGGATGCTCGGGTGGTGGTTTAAGCCAGACATTTAAAAAGATTGAAGTGATTTGCCTGTGAAGCTTTGGAGAGGGCTGGCACTGTGCGGAGAACTCCATCACCCACAGACCCTCCTCATGGCACAGAGATGGCTGAGCTCTGGCTGGGGTTCTTGGAATGTTCCTGTCTCCTCCAGTCCATTCCCAGGGTGTCTGCACCATCCCAGAGCCCTGAGGGATGGGATGCAAATTGGTGATCCTGTCAGTGTCTGCCCATGGCCCCAGTATGCCCGTGGCCAATGCACTTCTTGGGAGGAAGGGATGAGTGCCAGGGGGCTGGTGGCACGGCTCCCTCCCCTGGACACATTCACAACATTGTCAGAAGCCCCCAACACCCCCACAGCCTTCCGGGTGCCCCGAATCCACACCCTCCTGGTCATCAAATGCTTCCCAGGAACAGTAAGGAGATCTCCAGGCCTGTTTTTCCAGGGAAATCACTGCAACACAATAGCATCTTCAGCTGGAATCTGGCTTGGCTCCACTGACATGCGGCCAACACCTACAGCCCTTCCTCTCCCTCCCAGCAGTTTGTTTTGTTTCCTTTAACATTTATAGGTCAGCCGGAGTCAAGAGAGATAATGAGCGGGAGCATGGCCCCAGGAACTTCCCAGGCTCTTATGGAATAGGAGCAGGGTGGGATGGAGATGGGGCATGCTTCAACAGCACACAGTTGATTTGGGAATCCCTGCATTTCAAAGGTAGTGCAGGTCCAGTTCAAGAATGATAGAATTCTGCGAAAGGTGAAGATCTTCATAGAGAAGGCCTATGAAAAGAAAATTAGGAACAGTTCAATATTTATCACATCAAGGAGATTAAACACCATTTTATATTAAACAATAAAACAGAACGGTTATTTTGTAACCTTTAAGCTATACTCAAATTTATGTTCTCACCATCAGACCAGATCAAAGGATTTCCTGGGGAACTTATTTAAGGAAGGGTTTTGGGACATACACTTGTGATGCTGCTCTATTGGGGTACTCAGACTATGACACCAATCACAGGTCTTCCTTGTTGTCACTCAATATTATTTCCAAAGTGGGAACCAACCTGCACATCCCCTTCTCTGGTGTGGAAAAGCAACAGATCAAGGCAAGGAGACTGTGACCTCTCCAGCATCTCTGGTAGACCACTGGATGTGCCCACTTCAGGGAGAGGTGAAATGCGAAAGCCACCTCCTGGTCTCTTGCTGCTGGTAGGTCCCACTCAGAGGACACAGGGATCAGGCTCAGGAGCCACAGCCACACTGGTGCAGCACGTGAGCACCAGTGTGAGCATGAGGCCTTTGCCTGCCACCCGTCTGCCCTGCAGCTGCAGCAGCTCCCAGCACTGCTGTGGCAGGAGCTCCTGGAGCCAGCATGGGATCCAAAGAGCACACCGACGTCAGAGCCAGGACAAAGTCTGGCAGGACACAGAGAGGTGTGAAAGGCAAAGCACTGTCATGTGTGACTGATCCACGTGAGTGTCAGTGCAGAATGTCACCCACACTGTCTGCCCAGTGCTCCGCACTGGCAACACACATCGAGCCAAGACAGGGATGTCTCCCACCATGCACGTTTCCTGAACAAGCACAAGAGCAGGGAGAATCATCCATTCCTGTGACTATTGAGTACCTGGGACATGCTGTGTGGTGTGTCCCAAGACAATCCCAGTCCCCTGGCATGACCGTGCCAGTCCCTGGTGGGGTGTGGGGTTGAGTGGGTGCGTGTGAGGTGCCTGCACACCCCGGCCAGGGCATCGCCTTTCAGGGGGCTTTGTCCACGCCGTCACTAATAATATCAAGGTGTTCTGCCAAGTTCCTTCCAGCAAACCTATGAGTTCATTCAAAGTGACAGGGGACCTGATTTATTA